TAACGCCCCCCCCCCCCCCCCCCAGTCTTCTGCAGAATAAATAAGCCTAGTTCCCTCACCCTCTTCTCATAAGGCATGTTCCACAGCCCTCTAACCATTTTTGTTGTTCTCCGCTGGACTCTTTCAAATTGGTCCACATCCTTTCTGTAGTTGGGGCCCCAAAACTGGACACAGTATTCCAGACGTGGTCTCACCACTGCTGAATAGAAGGGAATAATCACTTCCCTTGATCTGCTAGCAACACTTGTACCTATGCAGCCCAGTATGCCATTAGCCTTTTTGGTAATGGCCATTCCTGTTGAACGTTAACGTGTAATTGATGTCAGTCTCGCCTCAATTTAGGTAGTCAATTAGTCTCAGATTGTTATCACCTTCTCCATAAGGTTTTCCTTTTCTTTTTTTTTCTTCTACTAAGGCTGAAGACTGCCAGAACTCTTCTTGATGCAATATTCCTCACACCCACGCTCTTTCCTGTCCTGACTTGCTGATAAGGGAGAAAGAAGAAATGTCTGGGTGTGTAGCTTTTAGCACAATTGGTCCTTATGTCTGTCTCAGTATAGTGAGGGCTCCACCAACCCCTATACCCTCTCCCGTTCCACTGGGTGTTAATTTATATTCCATATAATCTGCCAGAGCCTGTCAGAGTCATTCCCATGCCTCTGGTTCAAATAAGTCACCACTAACTTAGTCTTGGTTAGCTTTCACCAGGGCCTTAGAAAAATGAACTGTCTTGAGTTTAAGCAACCTCCCGGCTTATGTGCAGACAGTTATTCTTCACTATCGCTCTGTGTCTAGGAGGATTCTTCCCCTCTTCCCAGGTGGAGGAAACAAAGTTAACTTATCTTTGTCCTTCTATTCAGGTCTTTATGGTACCCCCTTCTGAGTCCTCCTATTTAGGTTTTTATGGTACCTCCTTCTCAGTCCTAGGCTGCCTGATGCTTCAGGTTACCTGAAAGCTGCTTTGTCTTGGTTTCTTCCCTATCAGCTTTCTCACTAGAGCCAACTCCCTGAAGAGCCTTCTTTGCAGCTTCCTGAATGCTCCCAGCTGTTTCCACTCTCACTTTGTTGGATTGGGAAACAAATTCCAGTTCTGATTGTTCCTCCCTTCTGTGTTCTGAGTCTCTCTTTATAGCAGAGTTCCGCTCCTTCCTTCTCCCCTCCAGAAACACCAGGAGAAGAAGGATCCCTGTATGGCTCTGTATAGCTTCAGCAATGATACAGATGCTTGCAAGCACCCTTTCAACCCTGGTGTCTTACTTTCTGCCTCCAGTATCTCTTCGCTTCCCTTACAGGCAACAAAGGCATACTGTCAACTCATATCCAGCTTATTGTCCATTGTAACAGCCTGGTACTTTTCTGCAGAGCCGCTGGCCAACCAGCTGGTCCTGAGCCTGTAGTGGTACATGGGATCATTCCATCCTAAGTGCAGGATTTTGCAGTTGTCCTTGTTGGACCTCATGAGATTTCTTTTGGCCCAATCCGCCAATTTGTTTAGGTGACTCTGAATCCTAGCCCTACCCTCTAGTGTATCTACTACACCCCCCAGCTTGGTGTCATCCACAGACTTGCTTTGGGTGCAATCCATCCTATTTTACAGATCGTTAATAATGATGCTGAACAAAAACAACCCCAGAACTGGCCCCTGGAGCACTTCACTAGATACTGGCTGCCAACTAGACCTTGAACCATTGATCACTACCCATGGAGCCTGACAATCCAGACAGCTTTCTATCCACCTTACAGCCCATTCATCCAACCTGTACTTCCTTAGCTTGCTTGCAAGAATGCTGTGGGAGATGGTATCAAAATCCTTGCTAAAGTCAAAGTATATTATGCCCACTGCTTTCCCTGCATCTACATAGCCAGTTGGTCAGGCATTACTTGCCCTTTGGTGAATCCATGTTGACTGCTCCTGATCACTTTCTTTTCCTCCAAGTGTTTAGAAATGGATTCCTTGAAGACCTGCTCCATGATTTTTCCAGGGACTGAGGTGAGGCTATCTGGTCTGTAGTTCCCTGAATCCTCCTTCCTTTTCTTAAAGATGGGCACTATATTTGCCCTTTCCCAATCATTTGGGACCTCTCCCAATTGCCAGTAGTTTTCAAAGATAATGGCCAGTGACTCTGCAGTCACATCAGTCAACTCCCTCAGCACCCTTAGATGCATTACATCTGGCCTCATGGACTTTAACAAATCCAGCTTTTCTAAATTGTCCTTAACCTGTTCTTTCACCAGTGAGGGCTGCTTACCTTCTCCCCAAACTGTGCTGCCTGGTGCAGTAGTGTGGGAGCTGATTTTTCCTGTGAAGTCTGAGGTAAAAACGGTATTACATACTTCAGCTTTTTCCTCCTCCTCTTTCATTTCACTAATATTGCGTAGCATCCAACAGCACCCTTATAAAGTTCTTGGTGCACCCCAAGATTCTCTGGTTGAGAATCACTGCCTTAAGTAGTAATTCACACCTGTGCAAAACTGGAACTAAAAGTCTACAACTGAAAATAGAAGCATTTTTGCTTACCTTGATGCCAGTCTAAGATGTGCAAGACAGGGTACAAGACAGAGGGTAATCAGTCCCATTTAAATCTTCCTCCTGATGAACTGCACCATGTTTCATTTTCTTTCTGTTTATTGTAATTACCAGTAGCATAACTAGAGATAGGCAAAAATGGGACCCACCCTGGCCACCAAGTTAGGAGGGGCACCAGAATCTCCCCTCAACCCCATGAAGTCTGTACTCTGGCAGGAAAAGCAGTCCCGTGGCTTACCCTTTCTGGGAACTCCTAAACAGTCTCCAGCTGAGCTGCTGCTCTGCCCACTCCACCTGTTGCTTTTAAAGCAGGAGAAGCCACAAGCAGACAGAGGCTGTTCTGGAGTTCAGATCCTGTGGTCCCCTGTGTCTGCCCTCCACTTTTGGACACATGTATGCCCCTGCCCGCCCCCACTGCTCTCCTGCAGGGTTTGCCTAGCTGCCAGCTCTACTTGTTATGCTGTTGGTTATTACTACTAGATTAAAGTACTCATTGTTGAAAGGAAGATGTAATAGCAGTAGGATTTTTGTTTGGATTTTCTATTGGCTCAAGTAAGGGAGTGCATAATATATGAGATACCTCCTCTGATCTGAAACTTTTCATCAGTATGTCATACAAACAGATCACAAAACATGTCTATAGGATTTTTCACTCTCACCACAACTGAGAAAGTGACTTCTATGGGTCTACTCCTTGTTTTGGTAAGAAAACATCATTGGGCTAGAACAAGTTGCTAATGATTTTGATACAGTGATCACTTTACTGTTACTGTTCAACACAGCAAGCTCCCCTGACTATTTTCAGTAAATGATGAGAACCAAAAGGAGAGAAACAGTGAAGAAGGGTGTATTTAATTCCTTGGGAAAATGGAATTTTTCATGGTCCAAACAGCAAATTTCAAAGGGGGGCATTTGGTTATAATGCATGTTAACAAGCCACTATCTGTCTGAATATTGGTTCATGAAGTGCTAGAAGGGTTTTAGGACATGCCTCCTAAAAGAAAGAAAATTCATATTTGTTTAGCTTATGGAGCTTTGTTTTGTGAGGAGTATTATTTTCTTTGAAAGGTCACCTTCCTCTTACATTTTCAAGATTTATTTTCCACTTACCCAGTTCTTCCTTCTTTTTTTATGGCCTAGATTAAAAGGCAGGTTACTGCCTGGGGGGGTGGGAGGGTGGCACACAGCCATTTAAAAGTGGGAAACTAAAGTAAGAAGGGATGTAGTAATTTACCAAAAGTCCCTGATGAAGCTGGAATAAGAATCCAGATTTTTTAAGTTACATTTGTTTTAGACAGGCTTTGAGCAGGGATGTTCCTGCTTTTAGCAGGAGCTTGGATTAGATGACTTCCTGAGGTCCCTTTCAGCCCTATTTTCCAATAATTCTACGTTTAAATGACTAAGACAAAAGGCTTTGAGGCCATCCTTTGCTCCTCTGTCAAATTAATAACACCTCAGAAATCCTTAGAACATAATTTTCATGCAATTAGTTGACATTCTGCATATGCTCAAACATATTTTGAAGTAATTTTTCATAGGTAGCTAGTGACTACTTAATCCGTTTTCAAATCAGACAAATTAGAATTAATAATACAATTTAATTTTATTTTTCAGGTTTATTCTTTATATAAATTGATAATATGTTACTTGCCGCCATCTTCTGAACTGTCCCAAACTTTATTTCAGAAAAAAAAGTTCTGATTGAACGACACAATATTATTAATTTTGAGACTTTATTAGGAACATAAAAGCTGTCTTGAAACATACAGTGAAATGTCTTGAAAATTGTAATTTAGTTTTTTTAAAAGTATAGGCATGTTATTTAACCATTTTTCTTTGCCTTTAGCATGCAAAGTAAGTATTATGACAGATTATATGAATTTGCTAAGATTCTAATTATATGTGGTATATAGCCAATATCACTGTTTTAAGGATATTTCTGCATAACCCAAATAATGAAATAGCATGTTAAATCATGACAAATCAGAATGAAATGTAAAAGAGGGAAACATTGTGAAATAGGACATAAAATCCTTAAGTTTCCTCAATTAGCAGTAAGTATGACTTTTAAGAATTAACCTTTTGTAAAATATGACATTTCTTCTAAAATATGACATTTCCCCCTTGATATGTGAACAGTACGAGTTCTTTTCGTTCACTTGTGCATCGGGTTTTAAAATGGGGATTTTTTTTTTTAAAGAATGTTGTTCTTATATCAGGAGTCATGACATATGGGGAAAAGCAGAATTCATTATCTGTTGTAAAAAATGTTACTCAATGAAACTTGACTGACATTTCACAATATCTAAAATACTTTCTGATTGGTTGGTTTAATTAAAGCAAGATACTCAGTTCTGTGCATCTTCAGTGCATAAGCTATTTTAAGCCCTTTAGATACTCAAGTATGTAGTTGAAAATTATTTTAGATTGGCTTAAATTACTTATCATTTTGTTTGCAGATACCTCAAATCAGCTATGCATCCACAGCTCCAGAACTAAGTGATAACACCAGGTATGATTTTTTTTCCCGAGTGGTTCCACCTGACTCATATCAAGCCCAGGCCATGGTTGATATCATGACAGCCCTTGGATGGAACTATGTGTTGACCCTGGCTTCAGAGGGAAACTATGGAGAGAGTGGTGTAGAAGCATTTACTCAGATCTCAAGAGAAATTGGTAAGTGTACATTTATCATATTTTATATTTATAGCATACAGGTTACTAAAGTTTGAGCATGACTAAACACTGTCTGGGCCTATGTGGAATAATTGGAGATCCTGCAGATGCATGACCTAGACTGTCTACTCTTGAGAGAAACAGAGTATATTATGAATGATTTTTCTGTTCGTGGGTCTGTCAAGGTGACACTTCAGTACTAATTTAGGAAAGAGAATTCCTCACAAAGGCAAAAAATGCAAAAAAGATTTTACTCACTTTGGAAGGGGAAACTCTCTAATAAATTAGAGGGTATGCAGACTTGATAAATGGCATTTAATATCATTGTTTAAGACTAACACTTGTATTAGCAGGTTTTAAAAATAAATTGCATTTGACTGTGGCCAGATGTAGAGGGGACCTGATTGGGTTATTTTTTTGGACAATTGTGATCCTATAAACCCCAAAGTCTAGTCATGACAAATCTAATTAATGGAGTTTTTAATCAAGCTGTTAGAAAAAAAAATTCTTATCAAGCACAAAGGCATATCCTAATGTGTTTTTATATCAGGATGAAATGTGCTATATACATATAGGCAATATTATGAGAAGTCAGGTGGCACTTTCCTCACAGTCCAGTAGTTATTTCTGGCCTGAAAAATCAGCTGGATCTTTCCTCACAGTCCAGTAGTTATTTCTGGCCTGAAATACTGGCTATTTTTCAGGAACAATAGATTTTAGACTCCAAGGAATGAAGGAAGAGAGCCATAGGTGATTTGAAGGAGGGATGAATTGATCTTTCAGAAACTGAACCAAAGTTAACTAGCACAAATAAAGTAACCTTTAATTTACAAAATTCTCAAACAATCCCACAAGCCTTCCCCATAAAAAGCCTGGACTTTTTGTTTATTGGATTTGCAGCATGGTCTGGAGACCATCATCTGGTCTCAAACATTTAGATAAGGCATAAAGGGAAATATCACTCAGATATGTAGAATGCCTTAAAAATGCAACCACTTTAATTGAATGTAGGGTCCCATGGATCCCATGCATTTATGCAACATGTTTAATGTTTCATGTGAGACTTGCCAATAAATAAGTTGCTTCCTTTCAGTAATTTCTGAAGTTTCCATGTGGTCTTTATATGGCAGTTGAAGTAAGAGGGATTACAATTATCTGATCTGGAGGTGACTAGGATATGGATGACTGCCAAGAATGCAAAAGAAAATACTGCAAACTGCACACTAAGCCCTAGCAAATAGGAAAAGCATGATTTGCCACTGCTGCAAAGTAGGCTTCCACATGCAGCTGAAAATGGAGGAGGACTTCTACATGGAAGAGCCCTCGTGGCTGATGATCAATATTGCCTTGTGAATTTTTTCAGACAGAATAATAGAAAATAACTCAAGCATAGTTTTTCATGTCTTCCAGAGCCTGTAGGAATATTATCATGATCCCACTAATGATTATACCATTAATGATTTGGATGATGGGATCAAACACACTGTTAGCAAATTTGCAGATGACACCAAGTTGGGTGGATTTGCAGATACTCCAGAGAGTGGGGTTAGGAACCAGAATGACCTGACTAAGCTGGAGACATGGTCTGCAATCAATCAGATGAGATTCAACAAGGACAAGTGCAAAGTCCTGCATTTGGGACAGAATAATTGCATACATCAGTACAGACTGGGGAATGACTAGCTAGGCTGCAGTACTGCAGAGAAGGACCAGGAGGTTACAGTGGCACCATAAGCTGAATATGAGCCCGCAGTGTACTCTTGTTGCATAAAAACCTACCAGTGTGCTGGGTTGTATTAACAGGATTGTCACCGGCGAATCAAGACCAGTGATTCTTCCACTCTATTCAGCAATGGTGAGGCCTCATCTGGAGTATGTGTCCTGTTTTGGGCCCCCAACTTCAAGAAGTATGTGGACAGTTTGGAAGGAGCCCACCACTGAGTAACAAAAATGATTAGGGGCCTATGAGGCAAGACTTACGAGGAAAGGCTGAAATAGCTAGGGTTATTTATTTTGGAGAAGAAAAGACTAAGTGGGAGTTTGATAACTTTCAAATACAATTTTGATTACAGAGAAGATGGAGATGTGATTTTTCTCTGTGGTTGTTGGGAACAATACTAGGAGTAAGGGCCTCAACCTACAGCAGGGGTAATTTAGGTTTGGAGATTAGGGAAACTTTCTGATTATGAGGGTGGTCAAGAAATTTTGGAATCTCTGTCCTTGGAAGTTTTAAAGTGTTAGATAGACACTTGCTTGGGATGGTTTAGTCCAGGATGATTCTGCCCTGAGCGGGGGGCTGGACTAGTTGATGTTATGAGATCCTTTCCAGCCCTCCTCACAAGATGGAGGTTGCAATTCCACAAATGCTTCAGGAACTTCAGTAGGAAAAAAACAGGGAATATTAAATATAGAAGAGATGACTTTACATTTTTCCATTCAAGATGTAGCTCTACCTTCACCAGGAATACAAATCTATCTTAGTCCAAAATTTGGTCTACACAATAGACACAACACTTTTTTCTATAATCAAGTGAAGCTAATCCATATTTACTAGGCTATTTACTATTTGATATATTTCAAGATTGTGATCAAAACTTCAGGGATGCTCTGGTGGAGGAGGGAAAAACACACTTGTCTAGCTTACATATTCAGAATGTAGAATAAGAATTGGAAAAAAGTATGCCACAGGCTATTGAGTTTAGAATAATGCTGATTTGATTACATCAAATTGTATTACAACATCTTACTGATTTTGTTGACATCTTTGAAGGGAAATAAAAAAATCCAATAATATTGAAATATTGTTTGTTTTAAATTGTTATATTTTAATGTAATAGACTATAAACATAATAAACATTTAATAATTCGCTTTTAAATATAAATTTCAAAATAATACATTTGAAAAAAAATATTTTGACCTTATGAAAACACTTTTAGATAAGTACAAAAGAAAATATTTTACTTCATGAAAAATTTAAGCTTTCAATTTTTGGTCTTGATTTGGAATGAGTAAAATTATGAACTCTCAGAATTTCCTTTTCAGCATAAATTCCATTAACTTTCAGCCAGCTCTACTTGTATAACTGGTTCTATGGCTCATATTTTCATCATGCTTCCATATGTTGAAGGCCATCTGTATACTTGAAAAAATCTGTGAATGTGATCCATGGAAAGGTGAAGGCCAGGGGTCCTTCTGTTAAGTTTTAGTGTCTAGCCAGGACTCTTATTTGGAGTCTATTGGCTGAAAAATCATTTCACCTTGGAACCATCTGCAACCCAGCTGGTACTATTAACCTCTGAAAGTAGATGATTAAAATAGTCACCCAATCCTATTCATACCCTGTTTCACAAATATGAGAATAAGATGGATCAGTCCAACAATAATAGTTGTGTGGTCCTATTAATGCAAATGATATTAGGCTGTATTAATGGTGTCATGATCAAACTGACATTTCAAGATTATATCAATCTAGAGTAGTACTGATATCTGTCAGGAAATTTACAATATTGTGAACCCTAAGCACTGAGTCACAAGTCTCAAGAAACATGGTACTGGTCTAAAAGGAAGAGATTTTAAAAAGAACACATTTTGTCATCTTGGTATTTGTGTTTTCACTTTCACCTCATTAGGGCTAGAAACTTTGTTTTGTTAAATTAAAGATTTAATTACCATATAATCAGTAGAACCCTTTATCTGGGCATATAAAAAAATCACCCAATCTCATGGGCGGCTTTCTTGTTACTTATCACATTATCACCATAGTGATGGTGATAGCGATGGTGATGATTATCAGGAACAGGACCCCTTGTGCTGGTTGACATAAAACTGCATAGGCTAACACAAATCCAGCCTGCAATAATTTACAGTGTAATTTAAGATAAATAAATAACAACAGTGGGCAAATTGGAAGTAAGTACAAATTTAATAGTAATAAGACAACAGCATTGTAGTGGAAAATAATTCATTTGTGGAAACAAAGTGAGACAAATGCTTGCTTTCCTCATTGAAAAAAATTAGCAACTAAGAGGGTATGTGAGATCACAGTTTTCAAACAATAAATTAGAAAAAGTTTTCCTAAATCTGGCAGTAAGTGGCAGAATAAGAACAGAATGCAGTGTTGTTTCTGGTGAATTGTTTTTTATTATCCTTTTAAAATAGAAAATAATTTCAGAGGCTTGCTTATCTGTTGGATTATAAAAATGCATGCTTATCACTCATTGGACTCTTTCAATAATTTACAGTTTGATTGGCTGTCTATTCAGTTTCTGCTCCTTGCTCACCAACTCCAGAAGAAGAGAAGAAATTGGTTCTCTAATGAAATGTAGAACACTGAAAAGATCAAAGTCGTACCATATTAATATGCCACAGAATGTGTTGGGTATTCAAATCTTCTCTCATTTTAATGAGAAAGATCATGTCTAGTACAGAACATAGTTGAAAATTAAATATTTTACAAAGCAAAAAATGTAATGGAAAGGAGAAATGGTAGGAATTCTGACTGTGTAGAGGACACCATGGTAGATTTATAGTCTTCTAGTTCCTATTAGAAAGTTTGCAGGTGATTGGGTATGATGTTTTATGTTGGCATATTTGCCACAAGAATGGTATAAAATAATATACCATTGTACGAAAATATACCATTTAATACAATTTTACAATGTTCCAGAAATCCTTGGCATGTTCAAAGGAACTTAACAAAGAAATGCAAAAAGACCCCATTTAAACTGTCAAGTAGAGTAAATTTCCTGTCTTTGCTTACCATCCATTCTTTGTGCCCAGAGGCTGTTTAGTACATTTCTAATCAGCTTATTTTTACTGCTTCATTTCATCATACCATCACAGTGGAATTACCACCAGGAATAGAAGTATGGGAACTTTGCCTTTTTCAGGATTTGGCAGTGCTCCGTTTGATTGATTAGAAGTAATCTCTTTTGGGTCAGGCCACTTGCTTAGCTTAGTGCATTATTTTTATTTTAAAACTAATCGTATTCCTTAACAG